AAAATAGTATTTTTATTTAAAAAAGCTTTTTTCTATCTTAATAAGCTACTAGAGTACTTACTCTTCTTTTAAGTATATAATCTAATTAAGTAACTAATTACTATACTATAATAGTAAAGTAGATATAGATAGTATCTCTACTTTTAAGAAAGTACTTAATTATTAGTATATTAAGAATATACTTCTTTAGAACTTTAGTAATATATAAACTTCTAGCTACTAAATAACTAATAATATTAAGATCTAGCTTATAAAAGAGCTACTCTATAAGCTAGTACTATCTAGTACTAGTTTCTATTAGCTTTCTTTTTCTTTTTTATATAAATCTAGCTAAACTTTTTTATTCTTAGATTCTATTATAAGAGTCTTATAAAGTTTAGATAATTAAAATATATAGAAGTAATAAAAAGTATTTTTAATTTACTTATAGTTATTTTAGAATCTTATAAAAATATTATTTAGATAGTATAGCTTTAAGTATTAGCTCTAAACTACTATTAGTATATTTAAAATATCTTTAGAGTTCTAATTATTATAGAAATTTTAAAAGTATAAATATTACGTCTAGAAGTATAGAAATAAATAGAAGATAAATTATTATATTATAAGCTTACTTAGAAAGCTCTCTTAAGTAGTAAAGCTTCTAAGAGCTTATTTTAATCTATACTAGTATAATTACGTGCTGTGCTCTTAAGAAGTATCTAGAAGTACGTTCTATAATAATAAATAGTATACTTCTTCTAAATTCTTAGTATATATATTCTAACTATTAGTTTTTAGAATATATTACTATACTAGTTTAAAGCTTATATATATATATTATTATTCTATAGTTTTTTTAAAGATTAATTTTAAATTCTATTATAAAGTACTTTAGTATTAAAATAGCTTTTTAGCTAGTCTAAAAGATTTAAAAGCTTTAGCTACTTTAGAAATAATAGTACTAAAACTTTAAGTTTTAGTTTATTTACTTTTAAAGTACTATAATCTTTAGTTTTATATTCTTTAGTATACTAGTACTAAACTTTTTTTTTTTAAAACTTAATTATAAGCTATAGAATTATTAGTTTACTAATAAAATAGTATAATTATAAATAAATCTTAATAAAGTATAATATACTTATAAGTTTTTAACTATTACTTAAATCTTTTAATAGTAGTAGCTAAGTAAAGTTTATAAACTTAAATAAAAAATACTTTATAATTAACTATATTTTACTTAGTATATTCTACTAAGTAAGATATAGTATATTATTCTTATTAATAATATAATAATAGTACTTATTTACAAAGTATATAGTAGAGAGAGAGTTATATAATATTTATTTATTTTATTTCTAATATATATCTTTTTATACTAAATTAATTCTAAACTATTTTAGAAATAATTTACTTAGAAATAGTATCTAACTACTTACTAGAACTACTACTCTTAGAAAGAGTAGGTATACGCTTAGAAGAAAAGTCTAAGAAGAACTAGTAAGATTTACACTTATTCTCTTTATTCTAAAAAAAGGTATAGTCTAAATCTATTAGAAATAATTCTAAATTATTCTAGAAATAATCTAAATAAAACTTACTATAAATAAAGTTTATATCTAAGCTATTAATATTACACGCCTAGTAAAGAAGGTTATCTTTAGCCTAATTATTATAATAGTTTCTAACTATATTAGTTATAGTAGTAAAGTTAAGCTATAAAAGTTAGAAATAATTTAAAAATGTTTAAGAAATAATTTACCTATTCTCTCTTTAAATTATTAACTTAGATAATATTCTAAAGAAAGTATTTCTAGTCTTTTTACTCTTTCTTTTCTTTTTTATTATCTAGTATAGTAGTAGAGTTCTTAAAATTATTATAGTCTAAATTATTTACTAATTAATTTAACTTATAGTCTAAATTACTTAATAAATAATCTAACTTAGACTTATTATTAGATTCTATCTAGGCTAAGTTAGTAAGAAAGGTAGAAGAGTTAGTAGAGAAGATAGTAGAAGAGTTAGTAATAGTATTATAAGTAGCTATAGTCTAAATATAGAAACTTAGGTTAAATTAATTAAGAATTAATTAAAAAGTAATTTAAATAAACTTACTTATTTTAGCTTAGATTAGAGCGTTAGTAGAATTTCTAACTTATTTAGTAAACGCTATTTTTAGCTAGTAAGCTTAGTGTAAGTAGTTTCTAAGTATAGCGTAACTAGTATACTTCTACTAGAAAAAATATTAAAAATAATTAAGAAATAATCTAGAAATAGTTTATACTTTATAAAGAATTCTATCTTAAATTCTAATATAGTAGTATAGCTAACTTATATAAATAATTAGCTTATTTTATATATTAGTAGTAAAAAGTAGGCACTTAAATAGATATTAGTTAAGCTAAAGAAATTACTTATAAGTAGGCTAAATTTATTAAAATTATTTATAGATTAATTTAGAAATAGTTTATATATTTTCTTAGAAAATACTCTAGATTTAGTAAGCTATTATAAGTAGTGTAGTTTAGTAGAGAGGTTTAGTAGAGTTATATTATTATTATTTAAGTAGAATTATTCTAGAAATAATTTATAATTAATCTACTAAAGCGCTATCTTAGTATGCGTATTAACTACGTATAGATGCCTTAGCATGCTATGTCTTAGCGCGCCCTTAGTTAGATAGCCTGCATCCTAGCTGGCGTAGCTCACGCGCCAAAATACGTCACCAAGCGGCTGCACGGCTAGGCACGCGACCTCCTACCCTCCACAGAAACCGGATGAATGCTACCGTGCAACACGTACCTACAGCAACACTCCATGTTGCCCTCGTGTTCTTAAAGCTTCAGGAACCCCACCGAATCCGGTCCGATAACACCAGCGACCAGCTAACACTGAAACCACGAGAGCTTCAGGAGCTATGACGTACGACAACGACGCTGAGGAAAGAGGCACGTCCGGCTCGCGCACCCCACTCCTAGGGAGATCAGCGCATCAGAGGATAGGACAGGAAAATGATGGTCCTAAATGGACCTTGACGAGTGTGCTACAGTTCTTCGGTGGTGGCATATATGCTCCGGACTCCACGACCTACGACCCCCTGGAGATTTTGCTCAATACCGAAGACGCAGACGAAAAAGATGAACTTACCACACTATGGAGAGACAACAAACTCAGTGAGCTCAACTTTGTCGGCGTTGTGGTGAGTCTCCGAACATCTCTTTTTGTGGTTAATACACTCGGCGCCGTGCCTTACACATGGCGCATGCTTCACGCCGAATCGTGACATGGCTAGGACGAGTACCATCCATTGCATTGGCTTTCCTCGATCAATATCAACGCTCTCGATAACATCCGACGTGCTAACACATGACAGGCCGCCCTCTTAGCTGGCGTCCTCACGTCCACCGGAAGCTGGCCGAACATCTTGCCAAATGGGAAAGAATCGCCATGGTCTGTGCGCACATCATGGTACTGCGGTATCATATTGTCGCTTTTCAGCATCCTTACAGCTGCTGATCAGACCGTACGACTGCACCGCCTTTCATCACATCGCGATGGATTGGCCAATATTCGAAAGCTGATTGCCAAGACGAATGGCGAGAAGAGCCACTCATCCAAGACTGGACGTCGGACACCTAGCTTGCTACAAATCGTCACATGGCAAATGCCAGTGATGTTTTTGACGTCCGCTACTGTCTGCATGGTCGTTGGAATGTTCCTGCACGTCTGGTCTGCGACCACACACCTGCACCATCCAACACTGTGGGACGATAACACCAAGGTACGTTCGTATGACATCCGGTCTACATAACGTTCTGACACGTCCAAAAGGTTGCCGTCACGTTTAGTACTGTCGCTATCCTCGCAATGACGCTGTTCTTCGTCGGTCAGATTTCGCTTTACTCTCCAATTCGACAATGATGTCATACCCACGGACAGACATTGAATAGATCCGGAATTTTGGGGGAGCCCATACTCTGCTCGGGCCTTCGAAGGCCTTCCTCCATACCACTATAACGACGATTTTCAGCGATCTGGTTCCAATTCCACAGCTGTTTCTTCATTACTCGATTACTAGCAATTCCCATTCTGATTGTCGTGATTGCGCTGGCCTCCGCAGTGTCGTTTGCTCAGTGCGCCTGACCTAACCACGCAATCAATTCAAGGGTATAAAGCGACGGAAAGCGCCTTCTTCAAGACTTCTCTAGCCAATCATTCTGCACTTCGTCAGGCAAACGCATTATATAACGCTGATGTCCACCTGTTTCACTACTCGAGCAAATTGGCCTCCGTCATTGCGGGGTTTCCCTTTCTACAGATAGGGCTTGGCTCGTCAAATCTCACGCGACCAATACAAATTTCCACATTAGCTCACCGCATTTGTTCTATACGTTGCTCACAGACTCAACCACGACCTTTATACCACAAAGTCTTCCCCCACACCAGCAATTTCGTATATACAATCCGCTCAAGCAACGTCTCATGGCGACGGTATCAACAGCTGGCTCGTACGAGCAGTACAAGCTTGACACCAAGCGCTTCATCTTCTGGCTCATTGACACTGCGAAGAAGCGGGACTACGACATCGCTGATCCAGCCGAAACCCAGCAACCCTCGAGACGGCTGAAAGGCCAAGCGAGGAAGCAAGCAAAGCAAGTGACCAACCGAGCGACCGCGTCGAAGACCAATTATGTTATCTCGACGGAAAAGATCCTCGACTTGGCGAAACATATCGCAGACCATGAGGAGACCTCGACAATGCCTAAGTTTGTTTGGTACTCCTACAAGCGGGCTGTGAGAACGCGCCAGGCCTACGCCGACCGCTATGCCCAGGAAGAACTGTCGGAGACGGCTTCGGACGATGGCCACATCTACTTCTTGTGGCTGTTGAAACACTGCCACACGATCCTAAAGAAGAAGATCGCAGTGCAGGCGGTCAGCCGACCGGAGATTGCAGCGCCTGCGCAACTTCGATTTAACATCGCGACTGAACCGACATCAGCGCCATCTCTCCTTCCAGTACCTGGATCCGCACCGCAGGCTTTTGGTGATAGTCAGGAGACCGTACCTGAAGAAATCACGGCTGCTGAGGCCGAGCGAGAAGCAAAAGGTCACAAGCTGGATGAGCTGGCTCGGAAATTCGAGCTCGACATGAAGGTGAAACAAGACGCGGAGGCTGCACTCGAAACGGAGAGGAAAGCCAAAGAAGAGATCGCTTTGAGGAAGTCTTGTCTGGCAGACGATATGCGCATCATCGTCGAGCAGCTGGAGTCCGACTGGAGCGACACTCACAAGGCCGCTAGCAATGAAGATTACTTGGACGAGACCCGAGCCACTCTCATGACGGAAGCTGCGTTCCACCTTATACGCCACAAGGAAGAGGCCTTGGCGAAAGAAGCTCATGAGCAAGGCCTGCCGCCATTTGATCCCTCTCTCGATGATGATGACTTCTTCGGCAAGACCTCAAAAGCGCTCAGAAAGATCGAGGCGGAGCGACGTTCTCAACCAGGAGAGTATTTGTTCTTCGCATCGCGGTCGATCATCCAAGATGATGTTGCGAACCGACACACGAATGAGGACTACGACTTCCTTGTACACTACTTGTTTGAAGCAGCACTGGAACCAGTAAGTCTTCCTCGGTCCACCAAAAGTCTGTTCCATATCCCCACTGATTACTGACCATTGTATAGCAAGCTAGAAGGTCACATGAGGAACAGTACCAGATGCCACTACTAGCAGGATCGTTAGACGCTTTGTCTCGCGCATACGGTTCGCTAGGTTCTTTCGGCTTCATCTCAATGGTTTTCATATTCGCCGCCGAGTTGATGATCAGAATTCGAACGAAAGACCAAAACCGTTCGCTGAGGGATTACATACCAATGTCACGACGGGCGAGGGATGAAGAAGCCCAGTTCGCATCTTGGCATGAACGGGGAATCCGCTTCCCACATCTACTTCAGCAAGTCACAGACTCAGGGTATACACACCGAGGTCTGATCTTAGACCGGCCATTCTCTCATGCCCGGTACGCTAAGATGTGGAAGTTGGCGCCTGAGCATATGTTCTGCGGTTTACAGAACGACTACCCGTGGCCGGTGTTCAGGACTACCGAAATTGAAAAAGAGTGGATGATGAACCTCAAGATGAGTAACGTCAGCAATGGCCTTGGCAATGAGTCTGCGCGTCAAGCGGCTGCCGCCCGGTACATTCTTCCACCACGAGACGGCGACTTCTTGCGTAAAGCCATTCCGACTCTGAGAGCAAAGCTCTCCCTAGTCCATCTCTTGCTGCGCGAGGAAACGGGACTCGGCTTTGCTAATCTCAGCCCGCAAATCTTCGCCATAGCCCATTTGTACAACTGCTTCCAAAAGCGAGGCTGGATCAACGGGCTCTGGCCGGAGCTTGAGCTCATCATGGACCGGCATTCGAAGAAGATATTCTCCACCGCGATACCCACCAAACCGGATGAGTTTTACTCGCGCCTGCTGCTTGTAGCCGGGTACTCAACCACGTTCATCAAGAAAACTCGGAATACGGACAAGGACGTTTACAGTCGCCGCGATTTTGGGAAAGGCACCCACAAGACGTGCGAGTTGGAACCGCTTCCGATGACGAAGATTCTCCGCGACTATGTCCACCAGAGGGAAACGGGAGTGCGCACCTGGTATCGCATGGATGAGGAGATGGCCAAGCACAGTAAAGTCTCTTCGCGGACGCAAGGTTCTGGCGACCTGAACATCTTGTCATTCATCAAAGAGCTTCGCAACTCGGAAGAGCTTCCTCGCGTTCTGGACCGCCTGGAATTTGACTACATCAGTTTAACGCTGCAATGCAACGAGCTTTGCGAGAAGATCGATACCGAACAAGCACAGCTTAGCGCTACTGGAGGGAAAATACACAAAGAGGCGGACTGGAAGTCGCCTACCAGCGACGGTTTCATGATTGTGGCAACGCTCCTTGGAGATCTCGACCGCGTTGTGATGAAGAAGAAGCGCAATCCCAAGGGAAACATGGACATGGCAGATACGACCATTGTTGTTGACGCAGCTGTTCGAGTGATACAAGGCTTTCTAGATGGGCTGGAGAAGTAGGAGAAGCGTCGGACGATCTGGTAAAGCAGTTCACTTGAACAATGATACCCCAAATAGCAACTTCGCGGAGTAACTCGGATAGACCGTGATTGGAAAACTTCCCGTATAACAAAGATGCATCAAATATGTGACTTCACACCACCACCGTCGCTTCATGGCCGATCCACTGCAACGATATCAGACCGGCTCCCCACCTGTGTAACAATTCAGCTCATCTCATCTGTCGTGTAAAACTTACTCCGCATCTCTGCAACCCGGTTGAGATCCCAAAATTCACATCCGCCAATCACATCGAGGCACACGGGCTGCGGCTGACTGAAGGCTCGGGATCACGACGCCACTAATAAAGCTTCGTATATGCACTCCAGGTCTACTGTACCCGTGGAATGGTGTGATAGTTTCCCGCGCCGGCTGGAATGCTGGCAGCCAGAAGTGTCGAGAAAGCTTAAAATGGAGCTAGAGTCTCGTGTGGTGGTGCCAGTGCAGTATCCCAATCTTGCCCTTCTGCAACATGCGTCTTCTCAACCTCTATTCCGCTACTCTTTTCTTGTTCGGTGCAGCATCTGCGTACGGCTATCCAAGCAATTCGTGTGAAGACTTGGCCTTGGTACTGCCCAACCGCACCTTCTTCCCCGCAGCATCAACCTACAACGCATCTATCCAATCGTATCCATTCCTTCAACTTCGGCTGCGACCATCATGTATTATCCGTCCAACATCCGCAGAAGATGTAGCAACCGCCATCAATATTCTGCGAGTGAGCAACAGCACCAAGTTTGCGATCAAAGGCGGTGGTCACAACGCTAACGCCGGTTTCAATAACATCGATGATGGAGTAACAATCGACATGCAGAGCATGAACAAGGTCGAAGTCGCGAGAGGAGATCAAGTTGTGAGGGTTGGTGCGGGGGCGCTGTGGCAGGACGTATACGACGAGGCTGAGAAACGGGGTTTGACGGTGCTTGGGGGACGCATTGGCGTCGTGGGAACTGCTGGCTTTCTGACTGGAGGTAAGCCGGGATACGTGTAACCAATTTATGACTAGGAGACTGACTAACATTGTCCAGGGGGTATATCTTTCTTCAGCCCAGAGCGTGGATGGGCATGTGACGGCGTCGTCAACTTCGAAGTTGTACTCGCCAGCGGGAAAATTGTCAATGCCAACGCTACATCGCACTCTGATCTCTTCGCGGCGCTCAAAGGAGGGCAGCTCAACTTCGGTATCGTGTCGCGCTTTGACCTGAATGCCTTCCCTGCTAGTCCTATCTACGGAGGAAGGATCGTTTTCGGGCCCAATGCCACGACGCCTTTGCTTTCTGCATTTACCAATTTCAAGCTCGGGGAATATGATCCATACGCAGCGGGCTGGGTCACTGTGCGCTACAACCATACGGCAGCTACGTTCACTCCAGTGAGCATCATGTGGTACACACGGCCAGCGCAAAGGCCTGGGGCACTGAAGGCGATTTTCGAGACCAAGCCGCAAGTCATAAATGGCATGGTTGAAGCTCCGATCAGTGAGCATACCAGGAATGCATCGAGACAAGTGGCTGCAAACCCTCAGCGCACCATCTGGGCAACGACCTCTTTCGCCGTCTCACCGACGATCATTCATCGCATCCACAGTTTGTGGAAAGAAGTCGTCCCGGAGATTGCGGCACAGTACGCCTATGCTAAGCCTGTCGCAGAGATCACATTCCAGGCTCTTCCTGCACCCCCTCGCAATGGCACATCGCCAAATAGCTTAGGCTTTCAGCCAGAAGAGACGCCAGAGAAGAATCTCGTGTTCCTGCAAATAATCTTCACATTTGAAGACGCTGCCGCTACCGATGGGTTCGAGGAGGCTTTGAAGGATCTGGTAAAGCTAGTGGAGGGACTGACGAAGGAAGAGGGTGTCTTCCATCGATACAAGTATCTCAACTTCGCAGCATCGTTTCAGGATCCGCTGGGAAGCTATGGCGGAGTTGAGTTAGGAAGGATGAGGGAAGTGGCGAGGAAGTACGATCCAACGGGTATTTTCCAGACGCAGGTGCCGGGAGGGTTCAAGCTGTTTTGATACATATGGGCGCGAATGTGAGGAGGAGCAACGAGCGTGAAGACATCGCGCGGGCGCGTCGGCGGGGTGGCTGGGACGCGTCCACGCCCGCGCATCGTCCAAACCCAAACTGGCTAGTGCAGGGGTGAGTTCCATCAAACCTACGCAACCACGACCGCCGTCATTTCGTTAGAAACTTGCATCCAATATATCGAATGCGTTGCCCGTTGCTATGAACTCTACGCGAATGTATCAGTGTCTTTAAAGATAGAAAGTTCCAAAGAAGGCGGATGTCAAGGCGTTCCGCTGAGCCACCCGCGATGCTGGCGATTTAAACGCAAATGAGTACGTGTAACTGCTCCTGTGCTCTGAGTTCGCATGACGGATGGTTGATCGAGACCGCACAAGGACGACCTTTGTCGATGATCGCGACTAGTATCGCTTTCAACCTTGCTTTATCACCATACTGGACGCTTTCCCGAGGTCCTCAGATGGTATGTTGGACATCACGAACGACACGTTCCCTCAACTCTTGATACCACTTGCAGGATCGCTGACAACCTACTGCTATCTGTCTGTCTAAATTGGTCGGATCGAGAGAAAATGAACACAGTGAAGGGCCCATGGAAGTGGCGGCTCACATTCACTGTCATGGGAAGCGCCTAGCAAATTCTCTCACTGAAGGTACTCTGTAGCACGGCCACAATATCCAAGCAACTCTCGGGAAAGCATTTGCCATAAGCAGCCGCGTTGCGCGTTACAAGTGCTTCTTCTCGCCACATCAACCCAGCTGCTGGTACAGATCTTCAGTTACAGTCAACCTTGGATCATATCAACGATCACCTCACAAAGTCCACGGGTTATCAACATCCACTTGCAGCCCTCGAACAACCTTTCAATACCTCGACATCCGCAGTCACACCCATACCTCGGCTGTTTACTTTACCAACACCGCGCATATCCCCCGTGTCAAGATGGATCCTGTAACCATTGTTCTTTGGGTGTTCGTAGCCCTGCTGGAGATTTGGCTGGTCTTCGCACTCGCCTACGCCGGGCTGCAGAGATACGATGGACGAAACTTCTTCGAACGATTCGTGGCCGCTTTGCTATTCCGGTTGTAGACGACGGAGTGGAACGAGGTTGACGCATGACGCTGGATGGAGAACACACTTGGGGGAAATGGGGCGTTGCTAGACATGAAGTGGAGTTGTCGTGATACCACGTAGGGTATACGTCGAGGGAATACCACGCAGTATGGCCAGATATAGGCTGGATGTGAAGTAATTCTATATTTGTCACATGTCCCTACAACTGCAGTTCGTTCACCATTGCCTCCCCTGCCAACCCCGCAAGCAAATTCTTGACACTCTCCGTAGCCATTTGAACCCGTGTCTCAATCGTAGCGCTTCCAATATGCGGTACAAGCACAGCTCTCGGCTGTTTCAGAATCGGGTGATCAGCTGTGATGTTGGGTTCATTCTCGATCACGTCGAGCCCAGCACCGAATATCTGCTCTTGATCTAGCGCCGTGACCAGTGCATCGGTGTCGATGATGGGGCCTCGCGCGATGTTGACGATAACAGCGAGTTTCTTCATCTTGGAGAAGAAGTCTGTGCTTACGAGATGCTTGGTTTCTGGCGTGAGGGCACATCCGACAACGACTACGTCGCTTTCTTGTGCGAGTTGGTCGATGCTGTTGGCTGGCTCGATGGGGATGGTAGCGTTCTTGATCAGGCCGAAATGATCCTCTTTGACGGGCTTGCCAGGCTTGGACGTGAGATAGATAACCTTTTTGATGCCGAACGGCAGTAGTCTCAGCAACGAAGCCTGCGCAATCCTTCCGAATCCCAAGAAGCCGATAGTTGATCCTCGGATCTGGGGACCAGTCATGAGCAGTGGATGCCACGGCATCTGAGGCCATTCGCCCTTTGCGACCTTCGTCATCGACTCTCCACCTCTTCTTTGGGCCATGAGAATGAGCATGATGGTGAGGTCTGCTACAGCGTCGGTGAGACAGGTTGGTGTGTAGCCGAGGCGTACGTTGCGTTTCTTCAGCGCGTTCCGGTCAACGTGGTCGGTACCGACGGAGAATGAAGCGATGGCTTTCAGTTGCGATCCGGCTGCTTCTAATAGCTCTTCATCGACTTTATCTGTAAGCATGACTAGGATTCCGGTTGCACCTTTCGCATTCTCGAGAAGCCATGGGCGCGGACATGGCTGCATGCATATCGTCAGCGGCGCGTCTTTATCGTCAGTGATAGAGACCTACCTTTTCGGATTGCCATTGCACAATTTCCAATTCTTCCTTTTTCGCATCGAGTAGTCTTTGCGCCTCATCAATCAACTGTCGCGTTACAACGACTTTAGCCTTCGCCATGTTGGTGTTGATTCGTGCAGCTGAGGGGTCACCGCGATCGGCGTTAGGCGGGGTAGAGCTCGACTTCGTCGCAGTAGCACCGTCACGAGGAGTTGGTGAGATGTGCTGAGAAACTTGCGATAATCTTTGCATTGGAGTCGGATATGTGCTAAGCAGTGTCTCCAGACGTTCATCTTTACAACTTTGCTGCCGGACATCATTGGCCCGAAGCATCCGCCAATAACCGTTGGAGTAGGAAAAGCGAATCCACCCTCGGATGAGTCGTCTCCTTGCTTTCCAATGCTATCATGTACCGGGAGAAGAGTACCTTATCCGACGTGGTGAAATTCGGAACCTAGCAATAGACGTTTGGGAAGCAACGCCTCGTCGCTGCCCACGTATCGCGCTGGGAAGTGACGCTCCCAAAGTAGCAGGTACAGCCGATGAGTGCCCCACTCCTACGATATCGTCTCCTCTCCATGTGTCGCATCACTTTTGAGTCCTATTCTGCTCTGTAATTGTCGATGGTCTTTGATATAGACTCATTCTTTAATACTCCATCAAAACAAGAAGAGGCCACCAACAAGCCAAAGTTAACATGGAGGAACG